AAACTCCGTCTCAAAAAAAAAAAAAAAAAAAAAACAGCAGCAACAAACAAAAACCTCTTAAACCTACCATAGTTTCTTATTTCTCCCTTAAAGTTGACCAATTTGAATAAGCAAATTCACCTCAAGCATCTTCCTATTACCCAAAGCATGAATATTTTCAGATTATGAAAACTCATAAAAGAGTACCTCTTAGAAAATCTTTAAAATATTGTAATTTTATCCTTGTATATTCGTTGACTTGCTTTTCAAGGAACTTTGATGTTTAGGGAGTCATTCTACTTCATATGATTCTAGAGTAATGTTTTAATGTAGTGACTTCTCAGTGTCTTTTTATTTATTTTATTTTATTTTATTTTATTTATTTATTTATTTTGAGACAGAGTCTCACTTTGTTGCCCACACGAGAATGCTGTGGCATGATCTTGGCTCACTGCAACCTCCACTTCCCAGGTTCAAGCAATTCTCGTGCCTCAGGCTTTTGAGTAGCTGAGATTACAGGTGTGTGCCACCCCGCCCGGCTAATTTTTGTGTTTTTAGTAGTGATGGGGTCTCACCATGTTGGCCAGGTTGGTCTCGAACTCCTGACCTCAGGTGATCCGCCCACCCTGGCCTCCCAAAGTTCTGGGATTACAGGCATGAGCCACCGCACCTAGCCTCTCACTGTCTTTTTATATCTTTTATGTAATTCACCCCTTTTTTATATTTGGGAGGAATTTTTGTGTCCTGAAAGTTTTCTGTGTAAAATAGAATGATACTGGCCATAAAGAATTAGCTTCTGAATTATAAAGGGTCCTGGACAGAGCAGTGCCCCTGGGGCTGGGCCTATATAGAGAGTGTTGCACATCACTGACCATGGGTGTCTCTCCTTCAGTTTGTCACTGTGCAGACCATTTCTGGAACCGGGGCTTTAAGGATCGGAGCCAGTTTTCTGGTGAGTCTGGAAGCTTCTTCAGCAAAGAACTGTATATAAATTGCAGATGATAAGGCTTCCTATTGTGTGTGTATTTGACTGTTGATACAGAAGTAGATTTCTTCTTTCCATGAAGTTTGCAGATGTTCTATTCTCTGATTAGAAAATGAAAGGATTTTGAAGAAATTACAAGAAACATAGAATATAGATGATGATAAATTCAGTTCACAAGGAACTTACTATTTACTAGGGAGGTTTTGCATTTTAAAATGCTTGTTTAATCCCTGTGAGGGAGGTATAGTTAGGCTGTTTACAGGTGAAAAAAGTAAGACCCAGATAGGTCCTTGGCTACACGGCCAATATAACTGTCAGAGACTGTTCCAACCCACGCAGTCTCACTGCTGAGTCAATATTGCTTCTCAATCCTAGAGAGAAACTGGGTTTCAGCAGAGAAAAATGTTCTCTCATTAAAATATGTCAACTTTTTTTGCCTCTCCTTTGTTCATTTTTCTATTTCCTTTCATTTTTTAGCAAAGATTTTTTAAGTTCAGCCGAGATGTCTTTCTGCCCAAACCAAGCTGGGGAAACCACACACCCATCTTCAGGGACGCTGGCATGCAGCTACAAGGTTATCGGTATTACGACCCCAAGACTTGCGGTTTTGACTTCACAGGTGCTATGGAGGACATTTCAGTAAGTGGGGCTTTCAGGAGGAGAGAGATGAATAAAACTCTTGCTTGCGGACATACGGTGTCTCCCAACATGTCCCAGTACTGGGGATGAGCTGATTCCCAGACTTCCAGTTACCTTTGTTACTTATCAAATGATGGGATCCTGTGGCATTTCAGATAAACTGTTTCCTTTAAAGCTGCAAAGTCATCTGTTGGTTGTTTTTCTCTCTAGAAAATACCAGAACAAAGTGTTCTTCTTCTGCATGCCTGTGCCCATAATCCCACGGGAGTGGACCCGCGTCCGGAGCAGTGGAAGGAAATAGCAACAGTGGTGAAGGTGAGGAGGATGAACTCAATGGTGACAGTTCTGTGTTTAGTAACCAGCTTTGGAGGCTTAATTTGGCAATGTCTTAACAGAGAGTCTTAACCTTGAACCTGCATGAAATGTCCACACGGGTGGATAAGCGGCCAGAAAAGGGCTCCTCATTTGTGTGATTAGCAGTTCTGGGATTGATGACGCATGAGCATTTGAAAGTAATTTTTTTTGGCCTGGCGCAGTGGCTCACCCCTGTAATCCCAGCACTCGGGGAGGCCACAGCGGGCAGATCACCTGAGTTCAGCAGTTCGAGACCAGCCTGGCCAACATGGTTAAACCCCGTCTCTATTAAAAATACAAAATTAGGGCCGGGCGCGGTGGCTCAAGCCTGTAATCCCAGCACTTTGGGAGGCCGAGGCGGGTGGATCACGAGGTCAAGAGATCGAGACCATCCTGGTCAACATGGT